TAAGTGTGTTAGCTTTATAGATATTGTTGAAGTTTTAAGAGATTTAAGTCAAGAGAAAATTTTGTTATGATTTGCTTTGAATCTCATAATCTTACATCAAAAGTTATAAGAGTTATGAGTTTGTCTTATATCCCACATTAGAAGTTTAGTAAAAGTATAAGGGGTTTCATTCTTATAAATAAGATGTTTTATTTTTTATTTGATAATCTCAAATAGTTAGGCTATTAAAAGGGTATAATTGGATTTTGGGTTAAGTTTCGAGTAAAGAGTTTTTAAAGATTTTTCTCATTCTAAAAATTTTATAGTTGTAAAGATTTATTTGTTAATGAATTAGATTTGGAGGATTTTTCTCATTCTAAAAATCTTATAGTTGTAAAGATTTATTTGTTAATTGATTAGATTTGGAGTAAGCCATTTTGAGTTGGGCCGAAATAAATATATTTGTGTGTGAGTTTTGTGTGTACATGTTGATTTTCCAACACAAATGAGCCTATTCTTGGTTCATCATGCTATTGCTCTAGGTTTACATACAACTACATTGATCTTAGTAAAAGGTGCTTTAGATGCGCGCGGTTCCAAGTTAATGCCGGATAAAAAGGATTTCGGTTATAGTTTTCCTTGCGATGGTCCGGGACGGGGTGGTACTTGTGATATTTCGGCGTGGGACGCATTTTATTTGGCAGTTTTCTGGATGTTAAATACCATTGGATGGGTTACTTTTTATTGGCATTGGAAACACATCACATTATGGCAGGTAACGTCTCACAGTTTAATGAATCTTCCACTTATTTGATGGGATGGTTAAGAGATTATCTATGGTTAAACTCTTCACAACTTATCAAAATATATTTGTGTGTGAGTTTTGTGTGTGCATGAATGAGCCTACCCAAGCGTAGGCTAACTTCTGGACTGTTGGCAAACAAAGATAATTGTCAAACCTCCTTGCAAAAACCGAACACTTGAACTTCCTTCTTTTGACCGATCCTATGAGCACAATCCTGCGCTTGCAAATCAACTTGTGGGTTCCTGCAAGATTCCCCTAGCATCATTGATCCAAAGAGAAATACAAGAGAATAATAAAAAATGGGCAGGTGCTTACCAGTTACTATCATAAAGGAAGACAACATCTGCAGTAGCAAGATTAATATCGAAGCCTCCAGCTCTAGTTGATAACAAGAAAACAAAATTTTCACCTCCTGCCTTACTAAAGGCTTCAATGGAGGCATCACGATCTTCTCCACCTGTATTACCATCAATCCGGCAATACAGATACCCACCAAAGATGAAACATCGAATAGTCTTCAAGAATATCCAGCGGCCTTGTCATCTAATACAATAAATTCCCACAGAAAAATCACAAATAAGAATTGGGAACAGAATAAAAACACGTATATTATAAATGATGCATACAAAAATAAAAGAATAACACGGTGAAATGTCTAGACCGATAACTGACACATTTCATATGCGCTACACTGGAATCTACATATAAATTAAATAAATTCTAGGCAACCCTCAAGATTACCTGTGGAAATATCAGAACTCTAGAATCACGCTTCTTCAGCTTTGGAAGTAACTTGTTCAAGAGAACCATTTTACCTGGAAATAAATTGGTAAGGTCAGTTTTCTATGGATCCAATATTTCCAGTAAACTTTTTCATGATTACAATATTCCACTGCTTTGTTTTAGAATGTTTTGCTTTGATGGAAACTTTCATGAAGATGCTGTCAAAGTGAAGTGACTTTTCAAAACGCCTCTATACATTTCAATCAAACGTCACCTAGATCACAACTCTCTCTCTCTCTCTCTCTCTCTCTCTCTCTCTCTCTTAAGTCTTAATAATAGATATACAAATAAAAACGAGAGGTAATTTGTTTATATTTTACTCATTTTAAATTGAAATAATCGATTTATAATTTAATTAAAAATACAATTTAGATATACTTTAATTTTTAAGTATTATTCTTGATTTCATTAACCTTTTAAATTAAAGGTTAATGCTGTATTTATTACTTTTTTCCTATAATTTTTATATCCAAAGGATTGCTTACTTTGTAAAACACTGCCTTAAAGTTATTTAAAGTTGGTAATTTTATTTTATTAAAAATATCTATTGGAACAAATATCAGACAAATGTATGTGTTTGAATATTTCATATTTCGACTAATTATTACAGATATTACATTTTCTCAAGGTCCATAGTATATATTTGTTTTCTTAATAAATTTTTTGAACAGTAAAAGAAATTAATATTATTTAATTCAATTCGGTTCAATTCGATTCAGTTTAATTCAGTTTAAATTGATTTTTTTATTCGATTTGGATTAAAATCGAATATTAAATATATATATATATATTAAGTTTAGATTGATTTCAAATTGAGATCTGAAAAATAAAAAATAAATTGAAACGAATTAAATTATATATTTTTATTAGTTTTTATATATTTTTAAAATTTTTATAAAATAAAATAATTATTATATATATAAATTTATTTAAATATATTAAAAATCTTATTTTATTTAAATATATTAAAATTCTTGTTAAAATAATATATAAAAAATTAAAATTTAAAAATCAATAAACCAAACTAGTAAATTCAATTTAGATTGAATCTGTTTTAAAATAAAATCGATTCGAATTCAAATTGAATTTTAAAAATTCATAATATTATGTATTATCCGAAAAAAATCAAATCGAATCTAATCCAATATTAATTGTTATTACATCTAAGTATATAAAAAATGCTATATATGCAAAAAAAAAAGGTTGATATATAGAAGGATTGAAATTTGCATGCAATTTCGACGTGTTGCCATTTAAAACCAGAAGTTATGATGTAGACATGTTCACAATACCATTTGAAATTGCATGTTAAATAAAATCATGACGCAAATCTCAAGGAAAACTCAAAAGATATATTGTTGTGATTGATAAGAAAGAGATAATGGATGTTTGTACCTATAACTTTTCCATGGTGTAAACCTTAGACAGCAAGAAAAATTCTCTTCTTCACTTTTGATGGCTTCGGTTTGAAAACGATTTCCTCTCGTCTCTCTTGAGTCTTCATAATGCGCACTAGTGCTTTTATTTTATTCTTGTTTTCTCTTATTTTATCACTTTTGATGTTGTACTATGTTTTTTTTTAGGGTTTTCAACTTTGTTCATATCAGTATGAGACAATTTCTTAGAACTTCCAGCCGCTTTCACCTTTGCCTATACGGCATTGCCAATGGCCAATGCTTTACTTTTGTCTTTACCTCCCAGCAAATGTAGTCCAGTAAGTTTTACTTCCATGTACTGAACTGCGGATTTGACGTGCTAAATAACTAAATTGAATTTTGTGCAACCTCTTTTACCGATGTTACATTTTTAAGGTGCCACGGAGACAGATCGTATCTATTTTTTTCTTTAAAAAAAAAATTAAACACCACAAGGTGTGCTGCAGAAAACCACGCATGGCGACATTGCCTATTTTTGTCAGTTTGAAACTTCCAACACACTTTTTTTTTTTTTAATCCGAGCAACACTCTTGTTTTGAGGTACCGTACTCTTTTGCTTTAGTTGTCAGTGTAAAATATAGCTTGTTCAATCGTAATTACTGTTCATTAGTTTTTTTTATTGTTACTCTTATCGTTGATTATTATTCAAAGTTTGTTCTTTCATGCAATTGTTTTAAGGGTTTCCCTGCAATCATTTTTTAAGCATAATATTTTTAAATGCATGGAATACTGTCTAGTACTGTTATGTTCCTACTTTTCTCCCTTTCCCTTCGTTTTAATTGGAGGAAACTTCACTTTTCTCCCTTTTCCTTCGTTTGACGGATCCTATGAACACGATCATGTGCTTGCAAATCAACTTGTGGTCCCTGCAAGATTCTCCTAGCAGCACTGATCCAAAGAGAAATAGAAGAGAATAATAAAAAAAATGGCAGATGCTTACCAGTTGCTATCGTCAAGGGTGACAACGTCTGCAGTAGAAAGATTTATACCAAGGCCTCCAGCTCTTGTTGACAACAAGAACACAAAATTTTCACCTCCCGACTTATTAAAGGCTTCAATGGAAGCATCACGATCTTCTCCACCTGTATTACCATCAATCCAGCAATACAGATACCCACGAAACATCAAACAGTCTTCAAGAATATCCAGCAACCTTGTCATCTGAATACAATAAATTCCCACTGAAAAATCACAATTAAGAATTGTGAAGGGAATAAAAACATGTATCTTATAAATGATGCATACAAAAATAAAAGAATAACACGGTGAAATGTCTACACCGATAACTGACGCATTTCACATACACTACACTGGAATCTATATATAAATTAGATAAATTCTAGGCAACCCTCGAGATTAGCTGTGGAAATATCAGAACTCTAGAATCACGCTCCTTCAGCTTTGGAAGTAACTTGTCCAACGGAACCATTTTACCTGAAATAAATCAGTAAGGTCAGTTTTCTATGGATCCAATATCTTCCAGTAAACTTATCAGCATTGGTTACAAGATGCTACCATCAATGGCAGTGGATTTCGTTAAAACAGACTACCGTGCTTGGTGTTGCTGATAACCTGACAATGGGTAAATGGGGGAACCCTACATGGCATCTCTTAGAAAGAGTCAACTTTTAATCAAAATAATCAAAATTAATATAGTGTAGGTATCATTAAAATAGAATTTGCTGTTTAAAACAAATCAAATTGACACACAATAATGAGTGTTTACAAAATTAGTTTTATTAGCTCAACTAAAGCAAAAATTCAAGCAAAATTAAATATAATTAATAAAAATTATTATATATACATTGAGATTTAGTCCAATCGTATCTAAGCTCTTTGAAATTCCAACTTGTGAACGGTGGCGGATGCAGGTTACCGTTTTACCAAATTACCAAATTACCCATCCTCAGCAACCTAATATCTAACAATACACAGCCAAGTAAAGTTCAACAAGGGCAATTAAGGTAATTGAAAAAATAGAAAACCGAAAAAACTGGGAAGGAATATTCGTGTCGGACACTATTTGATTCCCTCCGCTTCCATTCTCAATAATTGACCCCACAAAACGAAATCGCTCATGCCAACCGGAGCCATACGGTCGCCGCGAAGAAACGAGGATCCAATCTCAATTGGCGTTCCGAAATCCGCGTTCTTGACCAGCTCCGTTTCTGCTTAGTTTGATTTGATTTTCCTTTTCTTATTCGTCGTTCGTCACGATTCCTAATAAATTTTTGTTTAATTGGAGATTATGGAGCAAAAATCGTGGCTAATTTTGGCGATTTTTACATGTTTAATTGCATCTTCTTGCGGTAGAGGTACTAATTAAATTCAATTCTTTTAATTTCTCATTTTTTAAAAAATTAGGTCTTCCTCTTGTAATTATAACGAATTATTCCTAATTTATGCAATTAAATGTTAAAATCAGCTCAAAATTTGCTACCTTTACTTTTTAATTATTTTATTAAAGGTTATGTCTGATTTTGTAGCTTTTGAGTTTTTAAAAAATTTAGTTCAATAAGGAATTTGCTTTCATTTACTGTAGAAATGCACGTCAAGAACAAGGATAACCACGCCGTCTACAATCATACTCTTGCCACTATTTTAGTGGAATATGCTTCCGCGGTAAAGTTGTTATTATTACTTTCTTTTTATTATTGGATTTGAGCTTAAAAGTTTAAATAATTTTCCAGGAAATTTTAGTTTCATGCCGTGGTTGGTGATATAATGAGTTAATGTATTCTTTGTATGTGTATCCGTGTGCCATAGTTCCGATAAAATGACATACAAGTCCTGGGATCAATGTAAATGATCCCTTCTCGTATGTTATAGAATAGACAAGTCAATGAGTAAACTGCTGTTGCCTAGAAGTTATATAAGAATTTCCGTTTGCTTCTTTCATATTGCTTTGTGTTTCTTTCTTGTTTAACTCATGCAAATTCTGTTCCTGCAGGTGTACATGTCGGATTTGACAGAACTTTTTACTTGGACATGTGAAAGATGCAATGGTTTGACTGAGGTACTTGATTTGCGAGTGGTTTTTCTTTAATCTTGAATGTTCAGGTAGGTTTCCACTTGAATCGGTTGTCCTAATAGTCCTTTTATGGAAACAGGGATTTGAAGTTATTGAGATTATCGTTGATATTCAGAACTGTTTACAGGTGATTTTCTCATTGTGTGTTTGGATATTTATTAGAATCATGACCTATGTTACACTTTGGAATACTTTTGTTTGTAATTGAGATGAAAATGACTTCAAATTGATAGGCATTTGTTGGGGTGGCAAAGAATCTTAATGCCATTGTTATTGCCTTTAGAGGAACGCAGGAACACAGGTACTAATATTATTTTCCTCTATAATATTTGCTTAGCAATGTTTTCAAAAGCAGGTAATGTTCATGGCATGATAACATAAATGATAAAAAAGATTTGAAGTATGTCGACATCATAATATATATATATATATTTTTACAAATGTAATGAGCTTTTTTTTTTTTTTTCCTGTTTGATTGATTTATTTCTCTGTTCACAGCATACAGAATTGGGTTGAAGACTTATTCTGGAAACAACTTGATTTAAATTACCCTGGCATGCCTGATGCTATGGTACGCATGACAAATTTCTCCCAATTTTTGAATTTATGCTGGAATGATTGTTATTAATCTTTAGTCTTTTTTTTGTCATTCAGGTGCACCATGGGTTTTATACTGCTTACCACAATACAACCATACGCCCTGGAATTCTGAATTCTATTAAAGAAGCAAAAGAATTTTATGGAGACCTTGACATAATGGTAACAGGTCACTCAATGGGAGGGGCTATGGCTTCCTTTTGTGCACTTGATCTATCGGTAATCTAAAGCCTTTCTTGATACAGCTGGAAATATGTTATTATTGCTGTTCTTTTCATCATGTGGTAAATGTGAAACCTTTGTGCTTGCTACATGAGTTTGCATTTTGTACCATGGTTTTTCCAAATCTTTTGAGTTAAATTTCCTTGGTTAAATTTTGGAAGCTTGCCTGGTTACACTGTCAGAGTTGTAATAACAAAATAAATCTTTTATTCCCAGGTTAATCATGAAGCCAAGAATGTGCAAGTTATAACATTTGGACAACCTCGTATTGGGAATGCTGCCTTTGCTTCTTATTATGGCAAACTTGTGCCAAACACAATCAGAGTTACGAATGATCATGATATTGTGCCTCATCTGCCACCATACTATTCTTATTTCCCTCAAAAGACATACCATCACTTTCCAAGAGAGGTAAGTGTCTGTGTTTGTTAAAATAAATTCTCTATTTTTTTATTATTCGAACAACTTAAATTGACAATGTTAGTGGAAAATTAGGTCTGAGAGCTTGCTAATTGGATTATTATTGTTTTTTGAATATTGAGAAATTTAATGTTATGTAACTTTCTGTGGAAAAGTTTTTCTAATGCTGAGGAAATCTGGATTGTTGCCAGTAGACATCCATCTGTTGTCTTGACTCGAGTAACACTAAATGTGAATGTTGGCATCCACAAAATGTTGTTGCATGTTCCTAATGGTTCTTGGAAGAGATTTATTCTTTGTTTCTCCATTCCCATTATCAAAAAATTTTGCCTTTGTTCTCATTTGTTCATTATTTAGCCTTTGCCAATTCGCTCTCTTGAAGGTTCTAGTTTACCTTTTAGGGTCTCATGGTGCTAATTGTTATGGCATTGCATGAATGTAAATATATAAACAAGGTCTTTGTTTTCAGTCTGTCAACAATTTAACATACGCAATATAAGGATGCGCTTATGCTCTGTTGTTTGACACTTTAAAATGCCTAAAGTTTCTGTATCAAAGTGTGGTGGATAGAGGACTGATGTTTGATGCATGAAAGACTGCAGCCCGATTAAACAAAGAATGGCATTGATACGTTTGTTAATCTTTATCTCTTATTTGTAGGTGTTAATCTTTATCTCTTATTTGTAGGTGTGGTTGTATAACCTTGGAGTGGAAAGTCTGGTTTATAGAGTTGAGAAGGTCTGTGATGGTTCTGGTGAAGATCCAACCTGTAGTAGGTAAGCCTATTTCTGTATGTAGATTTTGGCCGTGAAGGAAATTTATCAGGAGTTTAAACTTCATCTATTAAGCAACTTTAACTTTTTGAATTTATTAATTTGATTAAGTATTAAATTAATTGATTAAGTGCTGCAATTTTTTGAAAATGTAAGATGAGGGCATCTCTTATGTGTGTGTTGTTTCCCCTCATCTTCTCAGTGAGAAAAGGAATTGATGGATGGATGATTACTCTTTTGCTAAATGAGAAGCGGGCTGACTGCCTTAGAATTATCACTTTGAAAATCTATCATGAACTCTTCTACTTTCACATTCAATTGCAGGTCAGTGACAGGGAACAGCATCGCTGACCACTTGAACTACTACGGTGTTGATTTAATGTGCCAACAATGGAGATCATGCAGAATCGTGATGGATCCTCGTGTTTCGGAGTATGGCAAAACAGATCACAAAGGAAATTTCATTTTGTCCAGAGATCCGGCCACACTTGTTCTGAAATCAAATATGCGGTCAACTGAAGGGGAAGTTACATCCAGTGCATAATTTATCGGGAAGTGATTTCTCCTTGGAAGATGGCTGGTAGCACAATTCATTGATTCCCACTTCCGATAACTACTTTTTCATTCTTCCATTGAAGCCATGTAAAAAAACCATTGAAAATGAACGTTATCGATGTGGGTTTGGGGGTGAGAAGTAGGAAGGAATGTGTGTAAAACCGTAAATAACAATCCCAATGTGTACATTCCTTCCTTTTTTTTTTTTTTTTATGTACATTTATGAATATTGGTTTCTAATGCCAGCTAAAAATTGTCTCTACATACAACCGTGTTTCTTTTTTTTTCACGGCAATGATTCTTTGATGCTAACTCTAATTGATCATGACGGTAGTGTGATATATTGATAAAGTGTTGAATTTTTAATTCTTGCAAGTAAAATTTAAATCTTGACAGTTTTAAGTTAGAAAAACCTCTCATTCAACTTGAAAGAAAGCCCTTTAATCGTCGACGGTTGTGATGGTGTGGTATATTGATAGTGCATTGAACTTGTAATTTCCCTAATTAGAATTCAAATCTCACGGTTTGATGTTAGAAAAAAAAAAGAAGAAAAAAACCCTTTCAATTCAACTTAAGGGAAAGCCCCGTTAGTTTTTGCCCTCTGAGGAGGGATTACCTGCAATATGCTGAACAATTCGCCTAACAAATGACCATCACCTTTTAAACAATACCAATCACGACCAGGAAGCTCTCTCCCTTAAGGTTGAATTTCAGATTCTTTAGTTTCAGTAAACCAGTTAATGCATGATTTATCTTCTTTAGACCCGAAAAGAAGACCGAACAATTGAAAACAGTTTTATTCCATGTTAGAATTAGTTATGGCAATAAACTGACCAATTATGATCAAAGCTTAACTTTGTTGTTTGGAGATCATTATAATTTCACGGCTTAAAGCATTTTTAGTTCCAAATCTTGAATTTCTTCAAATTCTAATGGCAATATCCACATTCCAAGAAAAAGTCAGCATGGAAGATCAATGAGTATTATAGTTTTCATAGCTTAAAAGCATTACACATGTTTCTCTCAGCAGGGTTTCGAGGAGGATTATGATATTAATACATGAAACTGAAGTGTAGTAACAGTCTGATAAATACAGATAAGACTGCTTAGAAAGTTTCATTCTGTCTTCAAATCCAGGGCAGGTGAACCGGCTGGCTTTTCTTCCTGCACCACAGAAAAGAAAAAAAAAATTGAGTGCTTCCAATTTTCTTTTCTGCAGTAATATCAAACTTGTAATAATTTAACTAGGAACCAGAACTGGTTTTAACCATTAATACCTCTTTCTGAACTGGGGTTGAAGTTTTAGCTTTTGTAGTTTCTGCTGTTTCTGTTTCTTTTACCATCTTCGCTTCCTTCACAGTTTCAGGTTCTCCTGAACATACATTAAGATATCAAATTAATCAGGTAATGGACAAGAATTACTGCCATTGAAGCAAGCATCATTAACAAGTAAATGGCATTCTTAGTTAATGTCACAGACCATTTCCAGTTTCTTCTTTTGTCTCCTCCACATTTTCCTTTTTAGTTTCTACTTTTGTCTCTTGAGCCGATTCTTTTTCATCCAGAGTTTCTTCTTTTGTCTCTTTGGGCAGTTTTTTAGCCTCCAAAGCATCTGCCGGTTTCACATTCTCATCAGACAGGCTCTCTTTCCCAGCCTCTTCTGGTGGAGAGTGATACTCAGATCTTCCAGAAATTCCCTTAGAAGCAACACCTTCAATAGGTTCCTCATTCTCTTTTGCAACCCCACTTGTCTTCTCCTTATCATTCTCTCCATTTTCTTCCTTCTTCAGTTCTGTACTTTCAGCCACAGCCCTGGAAATGTCTGCAGCAGAGTCCTGATTGATATTCTTGCATTCCTCTTTCACCAATGAGCTTGTGTTGCTATCAAGTTCGGTTGTTTCTTTAATGGCTTCTGAAGTACTTTTCCCCCTCTTGGATTCTGCTCTTGAATTCTTCCGGCTGATGGTGTTTCCGGTTGCGACATGTTTGGATTCACCACAGCCCATTTCTGTAGATTCTGAGTGCAGAGAGGAGGATTGCACTGCCCCTTTTAATCTGCAGAGAGGCTTGGAAATGGGAAAATTCTTATTCTGGTTTCTGTTGGAGCCATAGCTTGCATGGGTGTAATTTGATGCCTACAGTTTTAGCTATAATGAAAAACCGTTTTTTTTTCTGTTGATTTTCTGAGGCTGAGATTAGCCTATTTGGCAAATCATCAATAGAACAAAGCGTATTTTTAGAATTGCAAAATAGTAGTCCAGCAAGCTTTTACATTGGCATGCAATGGTGGTTATTAGCTGGATTTAAACCATATGGAAAATGGAAGGAAATCAACAGCTTAACTAATTAACCAAATTCAACAAGGTTTTAAGATGTTTTTGGGTGAGAAGGCCGTAGCCAGGGATAGTAGAAGAGATTATAGGGTGTTGGTTTTGAATCTCAAGCTTAATGGATCCGTCTCTTAATGATGGTTGTATGAATCTGAGTTAAATCTCGGATTCAAATTTTTAAGAAAATTATTCGGTTATATTATTTATTTTACATTTAAATCATTCAACCGGATAGAATTATCATAAAACAATTTGTGACATGGTTGGAACTACATAAGATAACAATGTTTCTTGGTTCAGATCCTGTAAACTGTTTTTCATCCACTGTTTTTTTGCTAAAGATAGTAGGCTAGCAGGAAAGAGGAAAAGAGGTAAGGATAAAAAAATTATTAATCTAATGATTAAAATTCATAAGTCATAACTACATTAGATTAATAAGTTTTCCATTTTCATCTTTTTCTATCCTTCCTATCAAGCAAAACTTCAAAAACCTTAAAAGTTCTTTTGCCATTGAGAGTAATAACGTGCAAATGAAAATATTTTATGAAACAGTAACTTTACTTCAAGGCACTAGGAGAATCAACAAACCGATTTGTGAAGTGATTTTAACATCATTCATTGTCATGCAATGGGGGGGATATTAGCTGGATTTAAACCATATGAAAATATTTTATGAAACAGTAACTTCATTTCAAGGCAATAGGAGAATCAAGAAACCGGTTTATGAATTGATTTTAACCTCATAATTCAAGGCCCCTTGGTCTGAACCTAAAATTTGGTTGCTTTTCTTGATCAAAAGGCAAAAGATCCAAAACCAAGTTGCAGATCCTTTTTCTTCATTGGCTGATAATCAAACGAGTATTCAATGAATGAAACTTTGCTTGAAAACCTAGTTAACATATACTAACATCCATAGTCAGATTCTACAGCTAATACTGGTAAAATTTGCCTGAATGGTGTATATGTATGAGCCATAAGAGAAAAAATAACATGAATTTAACCCTCTGGATTCGATCCTCAAACCTCAATTGCTACATTCAGAAGCTGTGCAATCGTTTAGAAGTCTCACATACAAACAATGATTGAATAATAATTGTTGCTCTTATCAATTGTGTAATTTGATTCACTTGTGGTAAAGTCTCTCTTATGGTAGTTTGTATATTACCGTTGTGGAAAGCATCGGTAATTCATGATGTCATATTTTACACGTAAATTAAATATTATAATTCGTATTAATACGAAATATATAAAATATATTATTTATTTTTATTAAATTTATAAATAATTTATATTTTTTTATTATTTTTATATTATATTATCGTATCATATTTTAAATTTACTGAATTTACATATAACCTCGGTGACCAGCAAATCTAATCATAAAAGCATTCAAAGGACTATCAAGAAGTGCAAGTTGAGCTTTGTTTTTATTTCAATTTCTTTCAGGATCCATTTCACATGGCACTGCACATGCACAGAACTCCAGAACTTGCTCTTTTTTTTAAGGAGTTTTAAAGCAAAAAAACAAATTCACCTTCTAGTTAGAAAAATGTACAAGAAAGGGACTCTTCATAAGGACACCTCCAGATCTGATCTTGTAACATCATCCAAAATTATACATCAAGATAAAGAATTTTTGTACTTTTTTGAAAAATATATATCCTCACGTAATTAGGCATGCATTATGCGTATAACTACACATATGGATACTGTTTTCAATTTCTTATATTAAGTGTTAATGAACAATGAGTTGAAGCCATTAACAGATCCCTGTTAATAAAGGGTAGGTGCGAGAGATTAAGTTAGAAAAACAAACCCCTCCAAAGCAAACCAATGTCTGTCTTTATCCATCAAGCTTGACTACAATATTGTCTGAGCAGGGCATAATTCTTGTTAGTTGTTGTTCTTGTTGTGTGAACATGCGTAATATCAACCATGAACACTAAACGATGAATTATTAAATTAAATTTTATTTTTTATTTTTTTAATAATCAATAATAGTAGAACTAAGAAATGTCAATTTTATAGGAAGATGGTAACCATTAATTTTTTACATTATTTCTATTAAGAATTTCAGAGAGTAAAAATAACAATTGAACTCATATAATTACTATCTATAAATGTATTAAGATCTTTCATTACATAATTATATGTTTCTAGAAAATAAAATTTTATTTTAAAAGAAAATCATAATTGTACAATTGGATTCTTATGTGTCGAACATTTATGTTAAAATGCCAACAAAGGAAAGTTACACACTGAAACATGATTCGCTGGGATTGCGGCGCCTGGACCCTTTTCTCATAGTACCTTATCCTCTCTCTTCCCAGATGCATATTATTGTTTCCGTTACCAAATTATTGCCTTTTAATGTAAGATATTATATTGTAATACATAAAAAAATATAAATGAGTGGCCTTTTCTCCAAGACAGGACATCTTCGATTTTTCCTCTTTTGAGGATTACGACAAACCAACAACTCCATCTTCCCAAATCAGGAAAGTCCTCCTCTTTCTGGGATTTCTCTGGAAAACCGAAAAAAAAAAGCCCCAAATCTTTTTATCCAATACTGATGGCGATGGAAGTCTCTTCAGCCAATGAACGCCTCCATTTTGGGAAGATGGGATATGGGTATCTCTTCTTTCTTCTTATTATTCCTTCCCTTATTCTCTTTTGGCTTCTTTTCCATCTATGATATCTTTTTTTTGGATTTTTTTAGATGTCAACATTATAGGAGAAGGTGTAAGATTCGCGCTCCATGTTGCAACGAGGTTTTCTCGTGTCGCCAATGCCATAACGAGGCTGCGGTATTTTTTTAATATTTTTTTTCATTCCCTTGTTTTTTTCTCTGTTTTATCTTAAAAAGTTTCCAATTTTCTGACTCTTTATGCAATTTCTTGATCTGGGTATTTATGGTTTTGGCTTTACTAATTGGTCTGTCCAGAGCATGTTAAGTAACCCCTTTGACAGACACGAGCTTGTTCGACAGGATGTCAAACAAGTAAGACATTGAACGTCCTGTCTTGTCAGTTCAGTGTTTTTTCTTAGTTAATCATGATAACAATGTCTTTTTTCCATTTTTTTTTAAGGTTATCTGCTCAGTTTGTGACACAGAGCAGCCGGTATGTGTGCTTCAGATTTTTAACTTTTTAGATACAAATAGACCTTTTGTTTTGTTCATGTGTTCTCTTATTGCCTCAATTTTGATGTTGTGTTAGGTTTTTCTTGGTTGCTCAACTTTGTTGAAATTGTGGTGTCTAAATGGGAGAATATTTCTGTGAAATATGCAAGTTCTTTGATGATGATGTAAGCAATAAGAGAATGAATAGGTGTTTGATCCTTGTTTGCACTTGTCTACTGTTTCTTGCTTTTCCTTGATGTTTACCTTTTGATTACATGCGATGCAGACCGAGAAAGGGCAGTTTCATTGTCATGATTGTGGAATCTGCAGGTTAGTTGCCAAGTTTAAGTATGTATGGGTATGAATAGGGATGTACACTAGTCAAGTCACTCATCATCTATTTGAGTTCGATTAAAAAAAAAAGCTCAAGTTTGAGCAAGTAATAAATGAAATTGAGTTCAAATAGTTTAATATCTGGTTCGAATGATTTGTGACCTTAATCAAATTTAATCAAACTCATATTTGATAATGTATCAATTCGATTCGATTATACCTGTAAAAACGATTATTGATTTCCTCTTGATTATTCAAATGCAATTGGTGGGACCTAATTGAATGATTTTGAAAGCAGAGTTGGTGGTCGAGAGAACTATTTTCACTGCAAGAAGTGTGGTATGTGGTTAACTCCTTCAATTACAAAATTGTCTCATTTTTTTTTGTTTTATTTTATTGGTTTTATGCTTAGTTCAAACTTCTCAGATTCGATCTCCATTTCTTACAAAAAATTATCACTTCTATTCCATGCTGCATCCATTCATTCTTGTACAATAACATTATATTTCGCAATGGCACAGGCTCTTGCTATTCCATTGCTCTTCGAGACAATCATTTGTGTATGGAGAATTCTATGCGGCATCACTGCCCCATATGTTATGAGGTTGGTCTTCAACTTTCTTCAATTGTATCTGCAACTATTCTCATGAGGTAATGGTACATCATTCTGTTTCTCTAGTATCTTTTCGATTCGTTGAAAGATTCCACTGTGATGAAATGTGGTCACACGATGCACTGTGAATGTTACCATGAGATGATAAAGCGAGACAAGTGAGTGACCATGAGCTCTTGTTTCAGTTGTTCACAAGTGAAAATCTGTGTTTTATTCATAATCCAAGTTGATGTTGTTGCTCAGATATTGTTGTCCCATACGCTCCAAGTCACTAATTGATATGTCTAGAACCTGGAAGGGGATAGATGAAGAGGTATGCTTCTTCAATTTTAACCTCATCACAAACTGTAAATTTTTGTGTTTGACAGCCTTATCTTATATTTAAGTATGTCCGTTAACCAACATTGACGAATATTTCATAAACAAATTTAGTTTTTATTTATTTATTAAATTTAATAAATAATTATAAAATAACATTTTAAAATTTTTGGCTCGTTTGTGTAAATAAATAGTGTTTAACAAATAATTTATAAATATGTTTAATTTTTATTCGTTTATTAAATTTAATAAACAATTACAAATAATACTTTATGATTTGATAATTAAGAAAAATAGATCATGAATATTATCAAAATTCCTTCATGTTTAATTTGCTTACACCCTTATATTCGAGGGGTTTTTTTTTTTTTTCAAGCCGATTCATAGTACAATAATCATTTTGTTTGTTGTCAGATCGAAGCAACTGTAATGCCTGAGGATTACCGGTACAAGAAGGTGCTTTGTTCTGAATTCCTGTTCATGTCTGAAAAACCTGTTGCTGTACATGAGTGTTGTCCATCTGAATTGATTTTACAATTGAATGCAGGTATGGATCCTGTGTAATGACTGCAATGACACAACAGAGTTTACTTCCACATAATAGGACAGAAATGTGGTCATTGTAAATCGTATAATACCCGCACAGTTGCCCCTCCAGTGCGCCCTCGATGACTAGATCATGATCGAGGAACCTACCCAGTGAGGTCAATGCATCTTTGATTGCATTTCCAATCATTTTAATGTGGTTTTCATTGGATTGATTATGTATCAGCTATTATGATTCAAATGACTGTAGCGTTTTCATGTCTTTCTCATAAACTTCTCTCGGCTTGTTCTTCTCCCATTTTGGAGTTCAAAAGAAAACTGTGTGAATGGTTCTTCGGTTGACGTGTACGAGAATAAAAGACAATTTTTTTTATTGAGAACAGTGATTATCGGTGAAATATTAAATTTTTATACGTAATTTTTTAATAAAATAAAATATAAATATATAAATTATAATATATAATTTTTATATAAAATATGATATAAATATAAAAATTAATAATATTTTATAGAATATAAATATATAAATTATTATATATATCATCAATGTGCGTTAGATTTTTTAAATTTTAAAATAAATTATAAAATTATAAAATTTAATTTAAATCCAAATTAAATTTTCATAAGATTCGATGTGAATAGATTTATGAATTCGATTTTTCAGATCGGTTCGGTTTATTAATATTTTTAATTTAATTTATTTGTTTTTTATATATTATTTTAATATAATTTTTAATATATTTAAATATAAAATAATTATTTTATTCCATAAAATTAATAAAAATATATAATTTAATTTAATTTTTTTATATTTTAATTCAAATTTAATATATATTTAATATTTAAATTTAATTAGAATCATTCAAAAAAATTTTGATATAAATTAAGCATTACAATTTCGAATTAATTTTTAATCTATATATATATATATTATCCCTACGAGCCAGTAGCTCCGCAGGAGTACCAAGGACCGCCACTCTACGGAACCAAACCTTCCTCCGTCCCCTAAAACGCAATTATCAGCCATCGGTCACCTGAGAGACAAAAAGGCAACAACGAACTTTCCTCTCTAAAACCCACCGAGTCAACCCGCTCCGTGATCTGACTCAGCTCTTACTCGGTCCCCCAATTCAAAAAGGAAAAAAAAAATGCGCGTCCTTCCGAACGCTGGCAAACTCGCTATGGTTTTAGGAACACGAACAATTCTCCTTGATTCCAAGCACCGATTCCTACCCTCTTTGACTCAATTAAACTCATCTTCTCTCTGTTCTCTTCAATCCCAACTCCACACCGACGCTTCCTCAGGTTCCTTTATTTTCATTTCTTTTCTTTGAATAATTTTTGTTAAATTTCAAAGTTAAGCCATTTTGTATGAATAGTTTTTGTTGAATTTCATAGGGATATGTAGAGGTAGTTATTGTCAAATGTCACAGCATCCGGTTCATTCGGTGATGTCAAAGACATGTTTTTCCACGAAAGCAGGAACCTCCAATGGCAATTCGACCGGTACTTGATTTTCTCCATCTTAGTTTTAGTCCTTACGTTAGTAATTTGTTAATTTCATGCAATGGAATTCAATAAAAACATGTCTTTGCTGCCCAAAATTTGATAATTTTCAATGAATTCGTCGTGCTGTTGTACTTATAATATGGTGGACTATTGTATATGTTGCAGAGATCTTTACCAACCTACCATAGTGTCCGCTTTGACCCTAAGATCTCACGGTTTATCTCACAAAAAGGGTCTCCCAAGTTTTGATTTGAGTCTTAAATTATGTATCATGGTAGATCCTCAGAATATCCAGTCATGGGATCGGGATCTCAACGTACACTCCTTGAGGGTATCTAGCATAGGAAGGAAGACGAAAGTCTGAGGTTTAATGTATGGACACTATTTTCAAACTGGTTTCATTGGTGAAATAACCATTGTTTGAAGCTTGTTTCTAGGACCAGACTTTGTCTGGATGCAGCGGGGTGTCTGATTACTAAAACTCACAGAATCTTGATGATATGCTTTACCTCATTCATAAGTGTAATTTTGTTTTTGGTTGAAGATTTGCTTGGAGTGTAATGTCTTTGTGGCCTGTCTACTGCTTTAATAATGTAAATTAACCATTCCTTTTTTTTTTTTTTAAATTCTCTATTGGATTTGAGCTTGATGTTATGGTACGTATTTGTCCACAATGTTAGGTCGGAACCATTCATTTCCCAGTAAAAATCTGGCTCATGGCATTAATATTATGGAGGTGGGGTGAATTGATACCATTCTAGGCCCTTTAGTTCTAGGATTGCTTAGTATTTCAAGCAACAATAGTTGCAGATTTGCAGTAGACATCTGGATCCAACATAAAGCATATATATGGGATCAACAATACCAATGACAGCCACCACTGTACTATTTGCATATATAGACTAAACTCCAGGGCTGTTTGTTTTTTATTGGTGCTTAAAAACCAACTGCTCTGATATCTGGAGTACAGTTTTCTGCTAATTGCTTCAGTAGGGTGGCTTAGCTATTCTTTATAGGTGAAAGGGAAGAAAGATTGGTGGCTATGGGGGAATTATGGAGAGGATCCGACAATTAAGTTTTGGAAGCTTTATCTTTTTTCTTATTTGGTTCATGATGAATCAGAACATCATAAAGGAATTTACAGGATGTGCTCCACTTGTGTAGTTAATTTATGTACTTACTATTTATGATTCTTGTTTGCGTGCTATTTTTATTGAATGCTTGTTTTAGCCTGCAAACAAACTGGAAATGCTGTTAAATATATGTTTAACAAAAATATAAAAGTGCAGAAAAATCTAGCTGTCTAGCTGAGTTTCTTCTTGTGCAGTTGTTATTTATGTTAACATCTTCATGTTTTTTTCTTTTTGGCCAGAAATCTTTCTTATTGTTGGATAGCTGTCCCTGCAGGAAGATTTACGGCTGCCATTGCCACTACTGACGCTTGTGATTCAAATGCAGCACTTTTGGCAAGTGGTGACCTGCGTGCTCTAGATCCAATCTTCAAGATCTATGGCCAGCGTCGTGCATTCTCAGGGCCTATTATAACCGTTAAGGTGTTTGAGGACAATGTGTTGGTCAGGCAGCTTCTAGAAAGCAGAGGTGAAGGCAGAGTTCTGGTTATAGATGGCGGAGGAAGCACAAGATGTGCTTTGGTTGGAGGGAATTTGGCAGAGTCAGCTCACAACATGGGGTGGGCTGGTATTGTTGTGAATGGCTGTATTAGAGATGTGGATGAGATTAATGCATGTGATATTGGAGTGCGAGCGCTGGGTTCGAATCCCTTGAAATCAAACAAAAAGGGTGTTGGTGACAAGCATGTTCCGGTTCACATTGCCGGAACCTTGATTCATTACGGGGAATGGCTGTATGCCGATAGCGATGGCATTCTTATCTCAAAAACGGAACTCTCTATCTAAAGCAGTAGTTATGGAGCCGGAGGCCAGAGCCAATAGGGGGACTGAGTTCTTAGTCACTGGTATCATCCTAATTCCCAGAAGGGTGGGTTATTAAGTTGGATGTGATCGTTGTTGTTTAATCATATTTCAGCTTTGGCATACAAATAAAAGTTGTATTGTTGAATATGCAAGGTTAATTGAAGTTTGAATTCTTAGGTAAATTTCAATTTTCAAGTTTCCCCGTCAGCATAAAAATGAAAAAATATATATATATACATATATATATATACACGTGTGTGTGTGCACGTGTGTGCATGTGTCATGCCTTAGGCGGGTGTACCAAATGCAAAGATTAGGTTGGAGCCCGTGACACGCGCATATGATATGTTTCATGTGGTATATAAAATAAATACATGATAATGATAAATTTTTAAAATGATATTGATATTTTGATAAATTAAACAAACAGAACATGAAAAACAAAATTTCTTTGAAATTAAACGAAAAAATTACTGAAATTCAAGACTATTAATGATTCATACTTGAATTTTGCTTGCATTTTATTTTCGTTATAATAATTACAAATAAATAAAAATTAAATTGGAAGTTGGAATGGGATTTATTTCATTTGGATAAAAAAAAGAACTCAAAAAAAGTCAACAGGTCCATAGAAGAACCATAGACCGCCACTCCATTGAAGTTAATCCTTCCTTCCCCTAAACCCCCTTGTCCTTTTATTCTGGTCGAATCTTCCGTCTAAAACCCTGATCAGCCACTTCCTGAGAAATACAAAAGAATCCAAAGAGTTTTCGACTCTAAAACCCGACGAGTTAATCCCCTTCGTTACCTAACTCAGTTCTCAATCCCTAACTTAAAAAAAAAAAATGCAAGTCGTTTCGAATGCTCGCAATCTCGCCAGGGTTTTGGGAAACCAGACGATTCTTTTTAATTCAAATCACCGTTTCCTCTCCTCTTTGACTCAAAACAACTCATCTCCTCTCTCTTCTCTTCAATGCCAACTCCACATCGATGCTTCCTCAGGTACCGTCAAAATTTCGGTTTTTATTTATTTATTTATTTTTAACTTTTGTTTTAGTTACTTCTTGTTTGGTTACCGAGAAACATTGAGAAATGAAAATTCCATAGTTCTCACAGATGAAGAATAAAAAAAAATCGATTTTGTATTTTTTTAAAAAATTTGATAGTGATGTGTCGAGGCAGTTATTTTTCAATGCCACAGCATCCGATTTATTCGATGATGTCAAGAACATGTTTTTCTACGGAAGCAGGAACCGCGAAAAGCAATCCAACTGGTAATCGATTTGCTTGATCTCAGTTTAGTTTCAGATTGTCTTCAAACCTTTCTTTTTTTAAATGTTTGGTTTGCGTTGTTGATTAAAGAGGCCGTCAAGGAACTCTACGATAACATGCTTCAATCTGTAAATGTTAGAAGGACAATGTCTCCGAATGCTTCGCTATGGTCAATGATTGTAAACTGCAAAAATCATGATGATATTAAGCTTCTGTTCGATGTTCTGCAGAATCTCCGAAGATTTGTGAGTTCCTTATCTTTGCTGCCTGCCTTGTTTTTTGGTAGTTTTATTTGCAACTTTGGTTGTTTATGGATGTACTCTCTGGCTTTTGGTTGCAGCGATTATCGAACCTATGGATTCATTCCAATTTTAATTGCGATCTCTGCCAAGAAGTTACCAGGGCATGTGCTCATGTGGGGGCCATTGATTTTGGCATGCCTTAGTGTTCCTCAAAAATAAAGTAGTTGGTTCTTCCTGCTATTTGATTTTTTGTAGACCCTGAACAATTTTCTGTAGTTTGACTGCTAGTCTTTAATACTTGGTTTGTAGAACTTTGTAGCTTATTTAAAATATTAGCAACTACCATATGATGTTTCTAATATGACTATATGAATATGATTTAGCTTGAATGATTATGCAGGAAAGAAGGCTTTGTGGCAGCACAATGTGTATGGATTGGCTCCTAGTGTTGCGTCTGGACATCATTTATTGGTATAATTGACTCTCTATCAAATTGTTCAATTTTCATTTGGGTTTTGTATTTTTTGTACATTTAATTTAATGTTGGAATGCAGTCGTATGCTAAGGTTCATAACGATGCTAAACTGATGGTGGAGGTAATGCAACTTTTGATAAGGAATAACTTACCATTGCAAGCTGGCACTGCAGATATCGTTTTCAGGTGAATTGGTGTTTAGTTATGACTCATGTTTCTCTTTTGCATTTACTAAATGCCCTAACAATTCGTTTCTCAACAACAATTATTTTTTCTTTTCCCAATAAAATTTGAGGTCAATGTGAAAAAAATTGACTGGACATGAAACGCTTATTTTCTTTAAATGTATATAACTCTGTTCAAGTTTGTTCCTTGTCCAAGTTCCTGGGCAAGCACACTCATGGACATTCAAATCTGAGATGCTTAATGTGATGTATTTGTATATGATTTTGCATTATTGGATAAATTTATTCTTTAAATGAACAAGCTTTATATCACGAGCTTTCTAAAATATCGGTCTTTATTCCATTAACTGCCCCAAACTTCTGTGTTACAAACTTAGTCATTGATCTATAGAGTGTCCTTTTTTTGGGGTGGGGGGGGGGGTAGGGAATGGTATTATAAAGCTGTTTAATTGCAAAGAAACTAGAAACTTATTAGCATATATGTTCTCCTATCTGGTGTTACAAGGATTCTTGTATTATTTTCATGCTTCCTTTAAGTTGATTTAGTATTTTATTTGGATTAAACATTTGCAGCATTTGTTACAATACAAATAATTGGGAGTTGATCTCTAAGTACTCAAAGAGGTTTATCAAGGCTGGAGAAAAACTATGACAGACTACATTTGACACATGGATGGAATTTGCTGTCCAAAGAGGTCTCTAATCTCTTGGTTAATAGTTCCTATCTTCTGTATCTCTTCAGATTTTCTGTGATTTAGGCGATGGTGGTTGATAAGAGTATATTCCAGTTTGTGACCTACAAAGCTACTGAAATATACTTTTTTGATAGTCTTTAGCCTTGAATATCTACCCTTCTGTTTTCCATCTTTTTGTGTGCGGCTGCTATGGGGTCTGAAAATTAGGGGGCACTGAGAAAGAGGGAGAGGGAGAGAGAGATAAAGCTTGCTCTGGATTAATGATTTACTTCTAGAATATATCTTTTCTCGAACTTGGGATTAATCTATCATTTCTTTTTTATAGGAGACACTGAGTCACTATGGAATATTGAGAAACTGAGATCTGAGAAAATGAAGCAGCACACTCTCACCATGGGTATTGCATGGGTTTTGCATGTGCCAAGGTAATTTTCATTCTATGCTTGGATATGAAAATTGATTTCAATAAATAAGAGAATAATATGATCGTCCTGTTTAGTTTCTGTTCATTTGGTTTATTTTTAATTATTTATGTATTTGTTGGGTTTACTATTAGAACGTAAGCCAGAGGATGCTGCAGCTCTTATTCAAGTCGTTAATCAGGTAAATCAGGTGTCATATTACTTTGTGCCTTATTATGTTTTGAAATTTAGGTTTTCCTTCTCCTATTGAGTCTCCACCCTTCTTTAGCATGCTGAGAAGGGGGAAATAGAATAAAATGGAATTAAAATAAAAAAGAAGATACATGTACAAAATGATTAATAGTGAGTTAGTCTCTTAAGGAAAGTATCAAATTTTATGCCTCCTACGTACTGAAGTATCAAAATTTTATGCTTTAATTTACTCCTAATTTTTCCCATAGAAATGGTCATGAGAAATCCAGATTCTGGATATTTATTACAATTTATGGGGTGATGCTGATCATATCGAGTAATACACTAGGAGGTAGGGGAAGTTTTCTTACCTTGTCTCATTGAGTTGTGAGTTGATTTATTTTGAACTTACAGTTCTGATGGTATCAGCATCATCTTGATATTCAGCTTTTCATTGCTTAAGTGGAGTAAATAAGAAAACTACTAGTATTTGCTATTTCAAACATATTTTTATGTGCCTTTGAATGCTTTTTGATTCTATAATGTCTGTGAGATTAAACTTTTACTCTTATGGAATGCCAGACTCTATCAGATACAAAGAAGCCTGGTAGATTGGTTGAAGTTGAGAAGCTGGTAAATGAGTGGCCTTTAGAAGTTATTAAGAATAAAAAAGACGAGGATAGGAAGGTATACCATTTAATTCTTTATCTTTCCCCAAAAAGGGAAAAAAAAAAAAAAAAAAAAAAAAAACCTTGTCATTTCTTTGGATAGAGTGTGTATCCTAGAATCTAAGCTATCTGTTATCCTTCATTCAATCAATTTGTCAGTTATCGGCTGCTTCTTTGAAATCCGATATCTCTGTCATGGTTGCTAGACTACTAAACATGGGCTTCGCGGGGAGTGTAAATTTGGAAGATCTAACCAAAAAAGTTCTATCGTAGGGCAAGGAAGATCAGACATGAAAGCTGAAGCTATATTGACACTTTGTGTCGACAGAGCTGAAACTATTTTTGACATTTCAGAAGTTGTTGCCACAAAGTGAGATTTCATTCATGATCACTGGCTTCACACTCCACTGCTAGAGTGCTTGCTAGCTGCACTTAGTTGTAATCAAATTTTGTCAATTAATCTTTTGAGATTCGTTAATTTCTTATTAGTGATTGAATCCCGAATAAGTCAACGTTGTGGAGACAGAGATATTGATTGAGGAATTCCTGTTTGAATATATTCTGATGGATCTTCCCTTCTGCTACTTTTGATTCAGATGAATTCTTCATCTCTTCCAACCCTTTTTTTTTTTTTTTTTTGTTCTAGAGATTGGATATATGCATTGGTTTCACCAACAATATTTCCTATGTAGCCTAGATGCAAAAAAAGTCAAAATGTGCCATAAGGTCATGTAGTTTTTGATTTTTTAAAATTTAGTCATTCTAGTATTATTTTCTAAAGATTTCAGTTCAATCGTTAATAATGCATAAGGATTAAATTTTTTTAAAAATAATACTATAAAAATTAAATTTCTTAAAGATAATATTATAAGGATTACATTTTTTAAAATAATATTATAATAATTAAATTCTTAAAAATCAAAGAATATAGAAAAAGAAAAGTAAAAACTCTATTATAGTTCTGGTTGATAAAAAAAAAAAAAAAAACCTATCATTCTTGGCAAACAGATCTTCAACATATGAAATGAAAAAGTCATTGAAACTTAAGGTTTAAAGTCATTGAAACTTAAGGTTTTTATGAAAAAAAACAAACTAGGAAAATGGCTTGAAAGATCAAGAACAAGGAGATGGCAACCGGTTTTAAAAAGACGTGATCTTTATATTGTTGAGTCATTAGAGCCTGAAACAAACAGCTTCCTGAACTAAAATGAGCAGCATTAATTTCAAATACTATGGACATCAAGTAATCAACAAGCAAAGGATTAATCCATTAAAAATCCGAAATTTAATTCAATTCATGAAATCACCTTTAAAATTTGGTATCCAACAAATTTGAAATTCGAATTTCAAAACTTATAATTCATTTTTTTATTTTAAGTTGCGGTCTCTTATACCTTAAAAAAGTTAATCAAACATGAACAAAACAAAAGGCATCAAATATGACCGTGGGGAAGAGATTACCATAGACAGAAGAAGATCATATATCTCAGCAATCTTCTCCCTCCTATCTCTTTCCTTCTTAAAGCTCTCAGTCACTTCATTAGCTTCTTTTTGGCCTGCCAGGTTTCCAACAGCTGGAACCCTTTGCTCAACAATTGCTGCAGCCTCTTCCATTAATGATGAAAATTGTGATAATGGAGCTATCATTTTGTCACTATAACCTTCCATAACACCAAATAACATCTCATTTATTTCACTCCCTTCCTCTTCTTTCTTTTTCGTCTTTTGTTGATGTTCCATGTTCTTTTTCTATGAAGAAATTATGATGAAAAATGAGAATAAAATCCATCCAAAGTAGAACAAAGCATATAATAATACAATGGTATTGGAGTCGGCTTCAAAGTTGAAAGTTTCAAGTTCGAACTCTAGCCATACCCCAAAAAAAGTCCCAAATTCTTATAACAATAATAATTAATAATATAAATAACAAATGAGAACAGGCTTTTTCACATAAAACATTAATTCATTTTTAATTTCTACTTTGCATATCTCTTATGGGTGGTGAGAGCAGCGATGGCTGCCAAAGCCATAAAGCCAAGTGAACCAACAAGAGACAGAACGAGGGAAACGGCAGCGTGGTCACAGAATTTGTCAAAAACATTGCAAACTTCGTTCCATCGAACGTGGGAGTTCCCTTTGTAGGCCATGAGACCAATGGCCATGGCAGCTCCATTGCCAGAAAATAGCAACCCCACCATCACCAGATCGAGGACAATGATAATTTGGGCCAATCCCATCTTTCCATTTCGGGTTCCCAATACAATGGGCATAGAAATTGCAGCATATGAGCATGCTATGATATTTGACACCATGAAGTACCTATCAATAACAAATTGTAACATTTAAATACGAGAAAATATTACAAACGATGAAACAAAATACGTCTTTAAAAAGAGGATCTCCTTTAGTTTTAAAATTTGTTTTCGTTTATCATTTTCACTTTTATTGTAAATCTGATTATTAAAATAAATATAATTAATTTTGCTACCCTTATTTTCTAATCTTTTAAAAGATAGAAAATTTTATATAATTTAATTATTTTTACCTCATAAAATTAGAATATAAGAATTTTCAAACCAGTTATTTACTTTATTCACCATTCATATTTATTAAAGTGAAAATGACAAAAGAATTCCACTACAAAGGGGTCATGCATGTTCTTAACTTCCAAGTCCCCACCTTCATAAATATTCAAGGACTTTTCACAAGTAGTTGGAATGGTGGGAGCCTGAGAAAAATATTGTAAATTGAAATATTTATTAGATTTGGCAATTAGTATAAAAATATCTTGTAAAATATTAATAATTTATCTATTTATGTTATTTTTATACAAAAATTATATATCATAATTCGTGTTAATAAAAAATATATATAATATATTTTTTATTTGTTAAATCAATATTTGCTTTTAATTTAAAAAAAAAAAAACATAGTAAATCTTGTTATAGTTGTTGGTGAAAAAAAAATTAAAAGAAGATAGACCAAGGAGTGTAGAAGTTATAATTTTGGAATGTAAAAGTAAAACAACTATATCTTTGATTGTGAGATAGACATGTTTAAAGAAGTCAGATTCAAGATCTAAAGTTTGTTAATTACTTGACCTCAAATTTTACTTTGGACTTCATTTCTCTCCCAATGATCTAATCACTTACACATAGGCAGACAAGTATTGCCACTTAGCTTGGGCTGCAACATTGATAGAAGGCAAAGTTGGTGTGATCTGAATTGGAACGACCTTAGTCTGCTTATTCACCCCAAGAACTATGGCAGCTGCAAGTGTTAGCAGCATTGCCAAAACCCTAAGAACCAAGTCACATTTACTCACTGTTCTTGACATGCCTGTAGCCCCTTTGCTCCCATCAACAGTACTCACCTTGTTATAGCTTTGGCTCTCCATTTTTACAACAACTATTGTATATATATATGGTTCAAGAAAACCTGTCTCAACTCTCAATTTCCCTGGAAAGAAAGAATGTAAAGACACTTAAGGGAGAATAGAGCTGTGACAATGTTGAGAAGAGAGAAATGCTTTAAATAGAGAGAAAAAAGTGGGTAGCATTAATAACAGCCAACAATTTTTTTTTTTTAGTTTGAAACAATGTTTAAAAAAATCGGAAAAGATTGCGTGAAGTATTATAGGTGAAGTTTGTGAAATTTTTTATTAAAAATGAATAAATTAAAAATTAAAATTGATAGGTTAAAATATTTTATTTTATAAATCAAATGTATAAAATTTTAATAAATTTTGATATATTTATTAAATAAATATTTTTAGTAAAAATATTAAAATATTAACATAATTTTTATTATTAAATAAGTATTAATCAAATTTGAATTATAAATAATTTTTTTAATAATTTTTTTTATATATCATTGATCTTCACAATAAACTTTATTAATCTATCGATTTAAATTTTTTATTAAATTTTTATTTATTCATTTATAATAAAACAATTTTATGAATTTTACTTATGAAACTTCATTTTGTCAAAAAAAAAAAAAACTTAGATATCAAATTTGATTTTGGAAAGTTACTATGCTGAAATTAAGTTTGGTTAAAAATAAAAAGTTGGCTGGTTGTTGTTTTTAATATTTTTTTTTAAAATATAAGAAAGTATCAAATTTTAATAAACATATTTTTACATGATAATTCTGAAATTGCTTTGAAAGTATACAATCAGAGTTTGAGAAACTTCTAAAACATTTTTTACACTTATTTTTTGAGTTAATTAGTGGTAATTTTTAGATAAACATGAATATTTGGATATCCAATTTCATTAATCTTATATACTTGCCCTTCAACGAAAGATGGGTTTCCCAATTAATAGGAGGTTAGATGAGCCTCAAAATGTAATTTAATTATAATTATAATTATAATCGCAAAATTTTAATCTATATTAAATAAATAAAATTATTTTAAATATTTTATTTTAATTTTTTATTAATAAATTTATAATTTTATGATTGTGCTTTAAAAAAGTCAAAATTTTATAATAATCCTCACAAAATCTATAAATCAAAACTCTTATATATCGATTGCAAAAAAAGATAAAATCCGACAATATTCTGAACAAAAAATCCATCAATATTGAAGTTGTGTGTGGTTTAAATTTTATTGTTAGTCAAATTTTTGTACTAAAGGCCGATATCATTGCATTTAATTTTAGGGTCCAAACTCCAAAATCTAAAATTCAAGTAAAATTTCGTTCACGTTTAAAGTCAAACTTCAAAAAAAAAAAAATCTCAAAAGTACGGACTTTAAATTAAAGTGATTAAAAAAATCAAAATCAATTTAAAATTATAATATTATATTTAATTTGAATCAATTTTTTATTTAATTCAAATTAAATTTAAATATTAAATATTTATTAAATTTGAATTAAATTTTAAAAAATTTATAAAATAAAGATAATAATTTTATATTAAATTTTAATATATTAAAAATTTATATTAAAATAATATATAAAAATAAAAAAATTAAATTTTAAAAATTAATAAATCAAATCAAATCAATAATTCATTCACGTTATATTATATAAAAAATTATTTTAAATTTAAATTAAATTTTAAAATATATAATATTAAATTTTTTAAAAAAATTGAATCGAACCCATGATTACTTGTAAGTTGTTTACGGAAGACTTGCAATCAAAAACTTGCTTGAGATAGCTGGCACATTATAAGCTCAATCACAATTTTTTTTTTTTTTTAATTTTTCATTATTTTAATAATGGCTTGCAACCTCCTTTGTTGCTATTGTTTGAGCAATTAAAGATCGACGACCATTCTCATAAATATAACATTGCGAAATGTGTATCTAAAGGTACTAAATTTAAATTATATTAATTAATGTCTATAAAGCTTGCTATAAATGATAAAAAGATCTTCGAATTTTTAAAATTTTAAATCTAAATCTCATAATAATTTAATTTTAATTTATTTTAAATATTAAAAAATATTTTATATATTATCAATCAAAATTTTAAATTTATCAACGGAATAAAAAATTATCATATATTCTCTTATAATATATTTTAAAAAATTAAAATAATAAAAATATTTTAAATTTGTTATAAAATCTAAAAATTTCATGAATAATATATAAAATAATAATCATATATGTAATCTTATATTAAAAAATTTATCAACGATAAAGAAGTGCTCCTAAAACTCGATGCTTAGAGCATTTATTGTATGCTGAAAATACAGTTAGGCAGCATTAAATTTTAGAACTATTACCTATGTTTTGACATTTGAGGTTCAGGTTTCAAGTCTTTGGAAGAAATATTAAAGGTTTGATTTTGAATTAAAATTTTATCATCATGATATAACAAAAAAATATATATTTGAGGATGAGGATAATCAAATTTTCATTCAAATTCTTCTTATGTTATCAGTCCTTTTTAAGTCTTTTAATCAACTTTTTTGTTTAAGAAAATCTCATAAATTTCTGACTTTAATCAATAGCCCTGTCAACCATCATCTCTTCTACTCTTAAGCTAGTAGTATTAATCGATTATCCAGCACCATTTAAAAAATGAAATATGTTTAATTAAAATTTAATTTAATTATTTTGTATAATTATTTTAAAAATATATATAACAAATTTAATATTTAAATTTTAATAATTATAATTATATTTTAATATGCGATTACGATATCTTTAAAAAAATTTTTAAAAATTCGTGGATCAAAACTCTTTATATATTAGGGGAACCCTACAAAGCAACTGTTTTAGGTTGCTTTCATTGACACTAACTGACAACTATTTTTTTTTTTTTTTTAATTTCAAACGCTTTGATAAAGAAAGCATTTAATTATTTTAAGACTCTAATTGGATAAAATTCTTCTTTCGGATGCTTTTAAGTTTAAATTGGTGGTCTCCCCTTCCCTATATATCCGTCATTAGTCACATCCCATAGTTTTACTCTTTCCTTGTTTATCTTTGAATTATATTGTAATCAACCCCAACGGACCATTGTGCAATCAATCTATAGCCAGCATGCTTGATTAAGGACACAACTTAATTATTGCAAATTGCAATAAAAATGGAAGTATTAATACATACTCTTCCCTTCTATATTAAATATACTCTTTCCTTTTTTTCTTGATACAAAAGGTCACGGTTAAAACCCAATAATAATTTAAAAGTTGCATTTAATATGTTTAAAATTTTTAAATTTAATATTTGTAATTTATTTTTTTATCTTCAAATTATGATTTTTTATAAAAAAAATTCGATAGTTTCCCATTAATTGGTTCTATGCATATGGATGATAACTGGTTGGATCATGGTAGATTTTTATTTATTTTAAATTCGATCTTACTTTTTAAACTTAATATCACAACCCGACTTGATTTGATATTAAAATATTATTTTTATACTTAAACTCAATTTGATCTGTATATGTTTAAAATCACAATCAAATTGACCCGATTCGAAATTAATAAATATTAATTTTTTAATATAAAAGCTGTAATATAAAAAATATTTAATATTATTTTTAATATAAAATATTTTGAAATATAATATAAAATTAAATAAAAAATAATATCTATGAGTTGAGACAAGTTGGGTTTGCATAAAATTTGATTCCAACCCAACCCTAACTCAACCTCAATTTTTTTAAAAGATATACAATCTGCTCTAACTCAAGCTCTAATTTAAAAAAAAAAATTCTATGAAATTGAATCTAATCAAAACCCAATAAATACATATTGAATTACCAACCTTATCTATACAAATAGAGTATTTTTTAATTTATCTAAATTTAATCACTTTCACTAACATTCTCATAAGCACATTCTTTCACGTCAATTTGGTTTTTAAGTTTCCAAGCCCATGTTTTAAATTTTAAATCACTTCCAATCTACAATTTTCCATCTATTCCCTTCATCTAGTTTCCTCTCTAATTTCCAATTTATATATTGTCTAATATTTTAAATTTCTCAATGGCAATGAAACTTTATATTTAACAAATGATGAAGCAGTGCTCCTGTAATATGTCAGCAGGCCAGAGAAAAAAAAATCAAATAAATTACTACTGGGGCTGAGATATGGACGAATTTAAAATTGGTCAAAATTCTTTAATTAAAGCCAACAACCAAATTAAAATATCTTCAGAAAGTTTGACTTAATAATATACAAATATTTTTCAAAGCAAACAAAAGAAAAGTCTCATGCATTATTGATAAGTTCCAGCTTCTGGAAACATAGATAAAAATCATTAAATAATGTTTTTAATATTTATTATTAAATGACATAATAAAAAATAATTTTTTCTTATCGTACAAATCACTTTCCATCAACTTCAAAATTCAAACTCATGGCTTTTAAGATAAAGTTTTGGCTAGCAACACGAAATCAAAACTTATCACATTTGTTTTGGTTTGATGTGGTGCTATATCAACCACAACTATATTACACTTATATATAAAAAATTTATTAAATAATCAATCAAATAAATCAATAAATTAAAACATCACTAAATAAATATAATATAAAATTAAATTAAATCCATAAACAATAAAATTTAAACCTAAAACTTTAAGTTTAGAAGACTTTCGTTGCCAACAACACTTGAATATAAATGTTACTAACTTCTACAAAGAAAGTAAGCCACTTTGTTGTGAAGTTGTCATTTTCTAATTGGGTTTGTATTTTCTTTACTTAAGTCTAGGCATTATAGGGAGAAATTGATTGGGTTTTGACTTTGAGCAATTTAACATTAAGAAAGGATAAGGTTTTTGTCATACCATTTTCAAAGAAGATAATTTTATTGCAACTTTCAAGCTTTTTCATGCTCTACAATCATCTAAATTTTAACACCTCATATATATTAATTTAAAAAATATAAGAAGTATAAGAATATTTATAAATTTTTTTATCGAAGACATTCAGACCGAAATTTTTTTAATTTCATAATTGAGATTAAAATTGTGATGTATATCCTTTAATGTATATTTAAAAAAATAAAAAAAATAATTTTAAAAAATAAAACATATATTACTATCCTAACTTTGTTTGTAAAATTAAAAAACTCTATTCAATTTATCAAATAATTTTTTTATTTTTTATTTGAAGCATCAGAATTTAAACTTCAATTATTAAAATTAAAATTCACATTCTACCAATTATTCTGGTAATTGTTATCAATAAAAAAAAATCAATGACTTTTAAATTTTCATTGACATGTAACTTGGTCAATTGGTCTTATCTGAATATAACCCTAGTGATTTTTACGCAATTGCAATGACAAAAAACATATGACTTCTATTCAACAAAATAAGACCAATTAGATTGATACAATGAAAGATAATTAATAAGCTCTCTCTTTCATTTTGACGTGTAAAATTTTTATAAATTTTTTCTTGCTTAATACTCCATTTTTCTTTCATAATATATATATTATTTCTATTCCATCAAAATATGATGTGATTTTTTAAGGTAACGTGAAATTTTATATGATAGGACAATATAGGAAGAAATGAGGGAAAAGAAGAGAGAATCTATCATCAATGATCACTCAGCTAAAACGACATATAATTAAGAAAAAAACGTACCCAATTCGAATTATTTTAATACAAAAAAGTTAAGGTTCTCTTTAAATCTAAGCACTTTAAATCATGTCAAATAGTACATGTTTTTGAATTCTAGAATGTTTATTGATGACAATATGAAAATATATATAAAAAAGAAAATATATAAATATATGAATATTTATATTTGGTTTTTTGGGCTAGTTTAAATTTGAGATTTTCGATTTTAGAGTTGATTAATTAAAAATAATAATAATTTAATATCAGTTCAGTGGGGAAAAGATTCTACCTAAAGTTTCCAATGTTGTCTTCTATACGAAATTTCTAATTATATATGTTTCCAGCAGTAACATTGTAGGATTATAAAGATTATGCATCCTGGCCGCCAGACTGAAAGGGAAAAATTGATCCCATATGCTTCCAAATGCCGACCATTTTTACTTACATTTCCTATTATGTCAAAGGATTAGAGTCGTTTTTTTTATCCTTTAATCGATCGATCGAGAGAGAGAGAAAGAGTTAACTCAATTTTCAAATTGGATATTAAAAATAAGATAATTTTAAATATGATACAGTAATATTATATAAAAATGATACGAATAAAAAATATAAAATTAATATGATTTATAATTTTAGAAAAAAATATAAATAAATTTAACAAAATAAAAAAATATATTTTATATTTTCATGTTGACACGAATTGTATTATGTAATTTTCGTATAAAATATGATATGAATATATAGATTATTAATATTTTACATGATATGAATATATAAATTATCAACTCTATTCAACACAAAATAAGCCTTTTTTCCGAACTAAATTTGTTCTATGCTAAATCTTGATTAAGATTTTTAAATTATAGATGTTAAAATTTGAATCTTAAATCTATTTGATGTTATCTTTTAAAAAAAATTAAATAAACAAATTAAATTAAACTCATGATTCTCATGAACCTCCTACTTAATATTTTCATACATATGAACACAATCCCTGTGAGGCAACTTTATTTCTTGAGACCTTTCTTATGTTCCAATTGATCAAAGTCATAAATTTGATGTTCAAACGAATAGTATATATTTTTATATATAGCAGCAAATATACAATTCATGTTTTGAAGGTTACACCCAACCCAACCCAGAGTGCCAGCAGCCGACTTTTGTGTAATTGCAAAGAAAATTTGACAAGCAACTAAAATTAACAATGTAAAAATCAAGACAAGTCGCAACAATCATGTTGACAAACTATATTTTCCAGGTAAGAAAATTCTTCGCAATCTTTCTTCAGAATCCAATAAAATCAGAAACTTATGCGTATGAACATATCTCATGGCCGGAAAATATTATTAAATAAATTAAGCATACTGTCCCCAATTCAGTGAGAAAGCAGGAAAGTCCCCAAACAGCTATAACATACTATTCAATTTTTCATATTGAAGTTATAAATTCACTTGGCGTGCTGGGAATTCCTACCAAATTGTTTTTTATCAGGTCAGACCCTTCGGTCTATTCTCAAACTCCATATATACACATATGTACAGACCATTTCTTCAGTTTTTCATTACCCTCCATCGCCAACAGATAGCTGAGGAGTTGCCATTATTGAGGTCAGAGGTTATTGACAAGGCTGATCTCCCAAGTTAAACCATGGAAACGGAATACACTGGTAAAAGTGCAGTCCCACCACCAACGGCTGAAGCTCCACCAGTAGCAGCTGCTAAGGGCACTTTCAACTATTCTGTTGTTGAGGTTGCTCTTAGGGTCTTATTGTTTGCAGCCACTCTAAGTTCTGTGGTGGTCATGGTTACGAGCAAGCAAACTGAGCTGGTTCCTGTGACAAGCATGCCTACAGTTAGGGTGCCAATTCCAGCCAAGTTCAATCATTCACCTGCCTTCATGTAAGTAAAACTTCCTCCAAGTAATATGCTTTCAGTCTAGTATAATTCTTATAGTTTGCAAGTTTTGCATATAAGAGGCTTATTTGTTTAGCAAAAACGTGGCTTTAATTCTTAACATGAAGTAATTAGAACATTCTAAGTCAACTTACTTGTGGGATGGTAAGTAACAGATTCTGGTGAAGAGATATTTGAAGATACTTAAGTTTAAGCTAGTGTTTGCTGGTTTATCCCTTCATCCTAGGCTCATGGCTGCAGCAGAGAAAGTCGATAAAATTCTTTCTAGACATAAAATAATTGAACACGAATATATGAATCGTCAAATTTACATGTAAAACTGGTTGTTTGATCGGGTTAGAAGTCAGGATCAGTAAGCTTATCCTGTTATCCATGACAAAGAGGGCCACGGAGGAAAAAAGAAGATTTTGATATGGCTAATTAAAAGATAATATGGGATGGCACAAGGACTTATTCTTTTATTGTGAAATCATTTCTCAAAAAGCGACATAGTTTCTGTCACTTTGGTTTCCTAACCTGGGAAACAACTTACTTTGAAGAAAGTGACTTTTTCTTTATAAATTATTCCTAACAAAAAATAAATTCCTTTTATGAAAGAAAAGGTAGGTAAACCAATACCAAGTCATTTTAATTAATTATTTATTAAGATTATTACGTGTACTTGACTGGTGGGGATGATATATATCAGTGAAAGAAAATTTTTTTGTACAAAATGTTTAGGTGAAAGAAGGCTGCTAAGAAAAAATTGGCCAGGAGTATTAGTATATTAGAGTCATAATAAGAATAAAAAAACTTTTTTATTACCAAATTTATCTTAAAATTTTTGAAAAATTTTCTAATAGAATGAAACTAGCAATCCCTATATGGAATTCTAGTGTTTTAATTTAATAAATTATATCGTTGTGCAGATACTTTATAGCAGCATTATCAGTAACAGGCCTATACAGCATCATTACGATTCTGGCATCAGTTTCAGTCGTCCTGAAGCCGACATATTCCAAAAGCTTCCTACTTTTCTTTGCATTCTTGGATGTGGTAAGCTTCGTCTTAATTGAACCCATCAGATAAATTAGCAAATATTTTGTCAATACTGTTTGTCATAGATAAAGCAGCGAACCTAAGGTTAACTTGATTGATTCATTTAATTATTTTTAAAAAATGACATTTAATAGATTTAGATTTCGAATCTCGATATCTACAATTTTCTTTTGTTCTACGCATCAATTTTGTATAAAATAATAAAACAAGTTCATTACTAACAAATTTATTTCCAATGCCATTTATATGATGCAGGTGTTTGTAGGGATTGTTGCCTCAGCAACAGGTGCAGCAGGGGCGGTTGCGTACATCGGATTAAAGGGTAACAGTCACGTCGGCTGGACCAAAATCTGTGGTGTTTACGACAAGTTCTGTCGACACATAGGAAGCTCGGTTGCACTCGCATTGTTTGCAGCCATCCTGCTGGTGTTGCTCTCCATGATGTCAGCCTTCACCCTTTATAAAAAGATCCGTGACTAGACAGACTCCCAAGTCCAAATTTCAGCAACAACATTTCAGAATGTTTTTGTGTGTGTTTATCTAGAACTAGGTGATGTTTTCTTCAATTTGTTTGTGCGTTCTCATTCGTGTTACATGTAGTAATTGATTGAATGACATTTAAATGTTCTTATAATTGAAACTGCCATGTGAATATTTAGCAACTCCATTTCTTAAAATAGACGGACCCTTAAAAATCAATCCGTATATTAATGGATTGTGTCGATCCAGTATTATTATTTATTATCCTGAACCGGAACAACTCATTAAAACTGAAAGTATGATCATTTGCTTAACGTGATAATATTCTTTTTGCCTCGTCTAAGCTACCAACGCCTAATATTTTTAAGCTTAAAAGGCCGTCTCTCAAGCCTTAACCATGTAGAATAATTACCCCTTTTCTTCTATTCCTTGATTGGAAACCAAGCATTACCCAGTTCTTCCCTTTAGAAAAATGGCAAAGAGGCTTCAGAGGACACTGAATTCTTGGCTCTAGATGGCCGAGCTCAGTGGGTTAAATTAGAGTGATTATAGTTTGGATTAAATCGGATTTGATTTAATTTTTTTGAATAATATATAAAATTATGGATTTATAAATTGGATCTAAATTTGAATCAAATTTATATATGATTTAATTTGATTCAAATTAAATTTTATTAGTTCGGTTCATTAATTTTTAAATTTTATTTTTTATATATTATTTTAATTTAATTTTTAATATATTTAAATAAATTTAGATATAAAATAATTATTTTTATTTTATAAAAATTTAAAATATATAAATTAATAAAAATATATAATTTAATTTGATTTATTTTTTTAATTTTTTAATTTAAAATTTAATTTAAATTTAATATATAAATTTAATATTTGAATCAAATAAAAAAAATTAATTCAAATAAGACGAAAACTTTTTTTTAAAGATTTTTTTTCTCATCCAATCAAAGGAAATGTCATGCATTTGAAACGACGCTGTTTCTAACTTGAAATCACAACCTTCCACGTGGAAAATCACTGTGTCCAACATCTCAAAACGGACAGGGAAGTGCGGACGTTGCAATAATCCGACATTAACAAGCTTCGTTGACTTCCCCAATGTTTCGGTCGAACCTAAAAATCCACTTAAACAAAAATCCTATCTTCAGAAGGAAATTAATGATTTCATCATATATCTCCCAAAAATTCAGTAGCCAACCAAAAACATGAAGCAATCTGATTACACATATAACTCACTCCCAAACGATGTTGCTCTCAAAATTGCTTCTTCCCTTGAGGTTTGCTCTCATTTCACTGTGTTTTTTTTTTCTTTCCATAAAGTTTCGGTTTTCATTTCCTTTTCTTCTTTTTGGGTATTGTTGGAATGTAAATGAAATGTTGGTTTGTTGGGCCGTCGGGTTTTCAGGTGCCGGATCTTTCCTCGTTGGGCTGTTGTTCTCGGGTTTGGCGGGAGTTATGTGGGTCGGATTGTTTATGGGAGCTAGTTTTCAAGGAAAGATGGCCTCTTTTGTATGAAGATGTCTTGAAAGACCCCAACTTCAAGGTTGTAATTTCATGATTCATTTATGTAATATATGGTGATTTGGCTTTGGAATTGTTAGTTAAACCCAGATTTTTTGGTTCTCATATCAGTTGATTTGGGCTAATTGCTTTTGTTTTATAGCAATTCAATTAGGCAATTCAATTCTTTGTATTGGTTTGAAAATTTTGAAACAACGATGGCAGGGGTGGAGGGGATTTTACATAAAGCAGCACAAGGAGATGGCGAGTAGGGCTGCATCTGTTGTTCAATTTGTGGAACAATGCTATTGGAGTCACTCGAGTTTATTGACTATGTGAAAGCAACTGAATCCCTGAGATTAATGCCGTTTGGATTTAAAGATGTTCAAATGTTCCTGTTCAAACCAAAGCTGAATGTTTTGCTTAACCTGTTTGGACTACACTACTGCCTTAACTGCCTTCAAGTGCCGGTAACGTTTCCTTTTATGCATTCCTCTTCTGTTCGTTTTGTTTAGATTGAAATAGCGTTTTTGCTGTCTCTTTTATATGTTAAACCTGGGAAATTTAAAACCATCAGCTTGGCAGAAGGAGGGAGAGGAGATGGAATAGGCAGGAACTTAGTTATTAATGGATAGTATATCAGTATTGGTTGTTCCATCTGTTATAGAAATTATGTTTACAGTGGAGACTGTGTAATAAGGTCTGAAGAATTCAATTCTCTAGTAATTAGTGGATAGGAAACTTGTTTTATTTGGTGATGAAAGCACAAGATTAAATATGATTACCTGAAAGTAGGCATGCATCGAAAAGCCAAACTGGTCTGCTGCTTTTTAGATAATGATCGTCTCTATGGATCTACAAAACCGTATTCTTTTTATTTGTTTTGCAATCAATGTCTTCACCCTTGCATATCACACTCCTGCTGTTGGGATAATGGGATATATAAAATGAATACTTGCATATCACACTCCACCATGGGCCCTTGCAGTTCAATTGACTCAAACTCGAGCATGCTTCTCCGAACCTTTGTTGTGCTACAAATTTGTATAAACTTAAAAGTAATTTGTGAAGTACGATAAAAGGGAACCGACAATTGTGTTTTGTCCTGATAAAAGTATGCATCATAATTTTTTTGTTTAATGATTGTAGAAACTGAATTTTGTTCGAATTCTTCGAACTAGGTCTCAATTTTTTTAATTTTATTTTGTTTAATTTTTATTAATAAATAATAATAATAATAATCATAATAATAATAAAAGACAAGGTAAGCATAATGTTGTGCACGACACCAACCTAATCACCTGCCCTTACACTGGCACCATGCCCCCTAGACCCTAAGCCAACCCACTCCTTTACCCTACAGCCACTAACACCAATTACCTACCTGGCACCAATCGCCAGAGCCTCTGCACCTAACACCTACCCCAAACCACCCCTAGAGTCACCTGCCATACTTTGCCAAACACTTGCCCCCAGATCCAATCGTACCTCCCACATCACTTGGCAGCGAGAGTTGCAACCAGAGCTTTATAAATAGAGCTCCATGCACGTTAAACAAAGGGAAAGAAACCCTGCTTGAAACCCTGCCCCAAAGGTTTGTCAAAAACCACCACCAAAAAAATGAAAGAAAATTTTACAAAAAAAAAAAAAAAAAACCCAAAAACCACCAGCAAAGAAAAAAAGAGAGTTTTTGTAAAAAAAAAAAGAGTTTTTTTCAAACCAAAAAAAAAAAAAAACAAAAAGAAAACACAAGATCAATCACAGTTCTCATCGATGAGGAACCTCAGCATCGGTTTCCAAAAAAAAAAAAACTAAAATCAATAGAAAAAAGTTTTTGATTGGAACTTAAAGATCTGATTTAGGGAGATTAAGAGGGTTTTTGGTGAAAAGAAATTTGAATAGAGAAAGAGAAAAGTCAGAGAGTTTTTTTTTTTTTTGTGCTTTTTGGGTTTTTTGGTCATGTGCGACCATCAACGGCGACTACCAACATGGTGGCTAACGCTTCGAGCAGTGGCCTACTTATGGTGACGAACACCCAATTTGACTTTTGGTTTAGAGAAAAAAATAGATTTTTTTTTAAAGAGAGGAGGGAATGAGCAATTTTTTTTTGAGCTTTTATATAGGTTGGGGGTCCAAAAACAACGCCATTTTGAACCCCCCAGGATCCACATGCTAGTTCGTGAATAGATCTACGCAACTAGCTCGTAACCCGCTTTTGTCCTAAACCTAAACTAATTTAACTAAACCACTATTGGCCCACCGATTCGTCTGAACCGCCCAATGTTGATCGAATTGTTAACTAGTTTGGTTTAAGTTTTTTTTTTTGAATTTTTTGAATTATTTTTTTTATATATTATTTTTGTTATTTTAAGTTTTATTATTAATATTTATGCATATTAAAATTTTTAAATTTGTTAGGATAAATATTTGTTGTTTTTATAATAATAATTAATAAAAATGAAAACAAAAGGTTAAACTAAAAATAAATAATGAGAAATCAAGTTTAAAATTTTTTTTATAGTTTTATTAAAAATTAAAATAAACATTATAAAATAATAAAATAAAAATAACTAGATAATAATAATAACAATAATAAAAATGAAAATAAAATAATTTCATAACTTTTATTTTTTTAAAAAATTTGAAAAATAAAGAAGAATAATAACAAAAAATATATAAAAAAGTGGCAATGAAAATAGAATAATAAAAAGATTTTTCTTCCAGCCTAAATGATGGAGGGAATAAGAATTGTTCTTTTAAAAGAATAATAATAAATAATTTCGTCTAGATGTTAGAAAATTATAAAATAATAATAATAAAAAATAATTAATTTATTAATAAATAATAATAGTAATAAATTTTTATAAAAAGAGAAATATACAAAAAAAATTTTAATTAATTTTTGAAAATCATAAAAAAATAAACTTGCTTCGAAAATTTACTTAGATGTTCGTGTTTTTTTAAAAAAAAACTTTAAAAAATTTAAATTCTAATACCCTAAAATCTCAAAATCTTCAAATAAGACCCTAAATATTAAAATCCGTCAAGACCCTAAATCTATCTTAAACCATAAATTTGATACGCAATCTCGAATTATCACTTGAAAATCATTCAAACTTTAAAACTTTGATCTAAGTTTTACCCAAAACTATTTTAAAATTCTAAGGGTATATGTGAAAATCTCACATAAAATAATATGTTCTTGAATGCCCCTTAGAAGATGAGGTATTTAAAAAATTTTATTTCATTAAGTTTTTCGTACAAGTCATTAATCTGCAATGATAATGGGATTAAAACAAAAGAAAAAATAAAATGCGATCTTAAATATAAATAGTTGCACATAAATTTTGCCTAGATGTTGGTGAGTTAAGATGGTTTCATTATATTTAAAAATTCGATTTCAAAATTGTATTTCATGATCTTGCATAACATCCATTGGCATATACACATATATTCATTATTGTTTGTACTAAGTTCATATATTTGTAGTTTTAATTATCATTTGGTAGCTAATCATCATTAGTTTTTTCGCACAAAAATATTGTTTTAAATGTAGTTTAAAAATGTGAAATTATAAAATAAAATAAAAATAATATTTCAAAGGAAATAATTTTTGATATTTTATCTAGATGTTAGAGAGTCACTAACAATTCTCTTTTACAAATAGTGTTATTTTTATTTAAGGAATGTTGTGATAAATCTTAAGTGAAAAGAGTTATTTTAAATTTTGCCTAAATGTTGAAGAATTTTAAAGTAATTCTTTAACTTAAAAATTTTCTTGATATTCCTAAATAATAAACTTTAATAAAATTACTTTCTTTACAAAAAGAAATGAAAGAAATTATTATTAAATTTTAAATTAAAATTATTTTATCTAATATAAAAAATAACGCATAATTAATATGTACCAATTTATGGGGATTGTAAAGGTGTTAATTTTTTTTCACACGTAATCAACTTTTGAACCTAATCTTGATTTTGTAGATAAAAAAATATCTTTTTGATAAACTTTAAACCTATTTTTATAATTTTATTAAAAAGATAAACTTTTGGGTGGTCAATTACATCCTAAAAAAGATTAGTAGCCACTCTTTCGATTTTTTTCGATTTTAAAATTTTTTAATCTAGCGGTTCTAAAATCGTTATGATAGCTTGGTAATTCTATTAGGGATGTTTTGAGAGTCAAGCAAAAAATTTAAATTATGCACTATTAATAAGTGTTGGATTTAATTGGTTTTATTTTATATTTAATTTAATTCTCCTTATTTTAATTTTTCAAAAAAAAATATAAGCTAATAAATATAAATTGCATGTTAGTTATTACTTTGTTTTGATTTTGTGGTTATGATTTATTTATGTTATTTTGATTAATATGCCATTTTGCACACTTTTGCATATACATTTACATGCATGAGCTCTAAACCCAAGCTTTGTCTTTATTAGGAGAAATAAAGTCGCTATGTTTTCGTGAGATGATAATTTTTGTATTTGCAAGTGAAATACTTTCACTCAGATTGAGCCATTTCTGTTAATAGCCTGCAAGGAGCGAGGATCGAGGAGCCTTGCTAGTCTATAATGGATGATGATGTAAGGAATAATCTAAAAACTTTTAAATGTATAAATCTTAATCCAGCATATCGTGAGCCCTAAGGATCCGGCCTAAGATAGAGTCATGTTATCTTTTTTGAGAAAATTACCTAAAGCTAATATACTCTGTATATTCTGTTCTATTATATGTTATGTTTGATTATTTATTTATTTTATCAACATTATAGACTTATTTAATTCTTTTGTTACTGTTAATTTTGTTGCATGCATCATTTAGGCATCATATTTCTTAAGGGGGTATTGTTTTGGGCTAATCTTTATCAAGAAAAGCTTTCATGAAGCCTACAATGATGTCATCCATGTAAAAACTATTTAGAGTTTAAGAGCCAATCAAAAAATACTCAAAAAAAAGAAAAAGATTGTTTAAAAGATGGTTATATCTTAATGTTTCGTAGTTAGTATATGTGGATCTCAATCGAAATGACATGTCAGAATTGGATGATATTTAGAAACTATAGGGAATAAAAAGAAAGGAATTCTTTTCTAAGAAATACATGGATGTGGCAATGATTATGTCAATAAAAATCGATGAATAGCTTATTTGAGCCGCGATGCAATTTCTGGATCCATCCTATTGATGTTTTTTGTTCAACCAAGAAGATTTGACTCATACGATCGATGAGTACTCATCTTTGTTTCGGATAGAATCCATCAGTCAGGACATGACCTACTAGAAAGAATAAAAGATGATCGGGTTTAGGAAAAAGTTGGCTAGGATCATGGAAGTTAGGATTGAATAAATTAATAAACATAAGAATGAAAAGAATGAAATTGAGTCAATTCCTTTTACTTTTCTACTAGAGCATATAAAAAAACATCTGAATGACGATTGCAGGTAAGACTTTTTTTTTTGCGATCTATGGTATGGTAATATTTTTCAAGGTACTGGGGCATGTAGAAGTATGGGTGATTGATTTCTTCTAGCAATTGGGCAAGGGCATAAATCCATCTCCAACCATCCTAGCCGAAACCATTAGAACATTAAATTATTGTCGAAAAAAAGGTGTATGTCGATTCATAATAGGTGCTTAGTTACTCTACATTTGGATTCAAAGTCACTTTTAGGGAAAAAAAAAAAAAAAGGTCATTTCAACTTTTCTCTACTTAGTTTTTCTTGATCAAAGAGTTTGTTGCTAAAGAATAGCGGAGAGATTGGATAAAAAAGCATTGGATGTCATTCTTTTTAAATCTCACGAGTGAGGTCATAATGTGAAGAGCACCATGGATGCTTCATTTCGTCATATTATACTGTTGTGGTGACAAACTATGGGTCTCATTGCTAGGGATATAGGGAGTAGCTAGCCACACACATCATATAGTCCAGAGACCTTACGGATTTCAATAATTTACTCTTATGACTCATGGGCTTAAGCTATTTAAATTCAATTATAGTGCACCTAATTATGTGGCAGAAGGATATCTTTCATGGAAAGTAAAAATAATCAATGAAGTTAGGCCATTGTCGAATGATGTTTCAGAACAGCTATCCACCCTCACATTGAAGATAGGGTTAACAACCATCAAAATTGCCCAGCAAAAATTTATGGTAGAAAGGAAGAAA